CCCGGGGCTGGCTGGAGAAAGCAACCGACGGGATCTGCTGCAGACCTGGCGGCTGCAAGTCCAAGACGAAGGCGCGGGACGCGGCCCTTCCTGCCGCGCGGCTCCCTGTGAGATGGCGCCCCTCCGGCTGGCCCTGGCCGCTCCAGCTGGCCCCCGACGCCTGCACGGTGGGTTTATAGCCGCGCGTGTCCTGCGGGCTGCGCCCCTCGTGTGGCTTATTTCACCTTAACGGTGCAGAGACCCACATGCTGCCCGCACCTCTGGCGCCCAGGCCAGACGCGACCAGAGCCCCTCCCCGCGGGCGTCCCTCCCCACCCCAGCCCCACCCTCCAGCATGGAGAGGGGATCCTTCCCAGCCAGTCTCTGGGAAGCCAGTGGGTGTTCTACCCCTCGGTTCGAATGCTGCCCCCAAACTTTAGGGCTCAGTCCCAGGAGACCCCCACCTTGTAGCTGACATCGTTACAAATTGGGAGTTTTCCGGGTTCCCCCACCTTGGACCAGTATGTTACTTCATATCGGTGCCATCAGGGGTACCGAGAACAACCTGGAAGGCCCCACCTGCAGGGTGTCTGTCCCCAAGGGCCACCCGTGGGCCAGCAGATGTGCCAGCAAACCCCAGTCTCTTGGGCACCACACTTTGGGGATTTTTTAAAAGATTTATTTATTTGTGCATACAGAACAGACCTGGGGTACAGGTCAGAGGCAGTGAGAGGATTCACCAGAGACAGGGTGGGGAGCAGAGCAGGCTGCTGAGGGAGCAGTCGGGAGACAAGAGGGGTCTGCTGCGCCCTGGGGGTCCCTCCCTGGCCGGGCATGGACTCCCCACAGCAGCCACAGCTTGAGATGCCAGGGCGCCCCGAAGAGGTCTCCTTTTATCTCTGCGTTGCTGCGCACTGCGCATTCTCTCTGTGAGCCGGGAAGGGTGTTAGACTCGTCAGCTGTTTGTTCTGCCTCTGCTGAGGTGACTCTGTGGTGTCTCCTTCCTTGCGCTGATGTGTTCTATCAGTTGCTGTCACTTACCAACCTTTCTTGCATTCCAGAAGTCGGTCCCACCTGGTTGTGATGTGGAATTCCTTTAACCGCTGTTAGGTTCTTCTTGCTAGTCTATTTTGAGGATTTTTGCACCAGGGTTCCTGAGGACACTTGTCGTTTTCTCTTCTCGTGGTGTCTGTCTGACTTTGGTACTTGGGTTATGCTGACCTCATAGAACGAACCAGAAAGCACTGCCACCACCTCAGCTTCGGTGAAAATCGAGATAGACAGGTGTCAGCTCCTCTCAGTGTTTAGTTGACGGCACCCTCAGGCCCAGGCTTCTGTTGGGAGACCTTTGGTGACAGGTTCAGCCTCCCGACAGAGATCTGTTCAGATTTCCGATCTCGCCGTGATTCTGGCTCGGAGGTTTTGCAGTGCCTGTTGGGGTGTGGGCTGGGAGAAGCCAGGGAGCACGACCCAGCAGCTGCGACTGGCCTTTGGAGAGAGAATTCCCATCTAAGGGGTATTTGCTGCCTTCATATCACACATGACCACAAGGCCAGGAGTGATCTGGAAACCAGAAGTGCCTGTGATGTCCTGGGTGATACGGTGTCCATAAGAGCTCCTTAACAAAATGGACATGGGCCCTCCCTGGTGATGCAAGGGGTTAAAGCGCAGCACTGTGAGGCTGTCTGCAGCCCAGCCTCTGCTGCAAGGGTTTGACCCGGCCAGGGAGCGACCCCCAGGGCGCAGCAAACCCCTCCTGTCTCCCCCTGCTCCCCTCAGCAGTGTGTGTCAGCGGACCCGCCTGTTCTGCTCCCCCCTCTGTCTCTGGGGAGTCCTCTCATCCCGCCACACCTCTGGACTGCACCCCAGTTCTGTGTGCATAAATAAATGAAATAAACCTTTTCAAAAGTCATCTGCATTTTAATACACGAACAATGAGCCATCTGGAAAGGAAGGTACAAAAAGATGCCATGTACTACAGCAGCAGAGAAAATAAAACACTGAGGAAGCAAAGAAACCAAGTTGGGGAAAGAGCCGCCCGGCAGAAAGCACAGATGCTGGCGGTGGCGTGCGGGGCCTCGGCGCAGACGCTCGGCCCTCGCTGGCGGACGCCGGACTTCCCGGCCCTGGGAGACGGAGCATGGAGGCTCTGTGGTGCCCTGAGAAAAGACTTTCACGAGCCCGCGGGCTAACACGACGACCGTGGACAGTGAGGCGGGCAGAGGCCTTCCGGGCGTGCAGTCGGCTCTGGGCTCGGCGGGGGTCGTGGCCTCTTCCCCGTGGGGCCGTGCACACCTCCCCACTTCCAGACTCCAATTCCTCCCCCCTTTTGGGTAGGGGGGTGGCCGCCGTATGAACGCAGAAGAGGTTTTATGTCAGGGGTCAAAACAACTTTCCCTGAAGTCTGGGGAAAGGCTGCCAGCCCAGGGCCTGTCAGGTATGCGACTCCTCCAGGCCTCCCGCCGTCCAGATCTTATCGGGTCTTTGAAGGCAGGTGGTGCTGCAGCCCGCAGAATCCGGGAATGTGGGCCCATGCGGCTGCGCCCCCGGGGGTGGGTCAAGGGCCCCTCCCAGGCCCGCGCTCTACTGTCAGTGTTCCCAGAGCGGCCTGCGGAGTCACGCCATCCCTGTCAAAACTCCAGTAACGTTTATTTTTTGCAGAAATAGAAAAACGCACCTGAAAATTCATGTGTCATTTCGAATGACTCCCAACAGTGAAAAAAGTACGAAACCTGAGGACTCACGCTTCCTGGTTTTCAAACTCGGGAAACTACCGTAGCCAAAGCAGCGTGTGACCGCAGAAAGGCAGCGCCCAGACAGAAAACACAGGTGCTCACAGACGTACACGGTCACGAGAGCACCGGCCCGCGGCGAGGCCCTTGGGCGGGAAAGACGGTCCTGTCACGCACGAGGTGGCAGGAAACGCAAGTCCAAGCGCGAGGCTGGGCCCTTACCCATCACCATGCCCCATACGTTAACCCAAAGCAGGTCACAGTCCTCAATGTCAGACCTAAAACGATAAACTTCGAAGGAAACAGGCCAAAGGGCCTGGAGCTGGCCGTGGGCGCCTTTCCCGGCTATGAAAACAAAAGCACAAATTCGGCTTTGCAGAAATTTTAAAACTTTGTAAATCAAAAAAAATTCTAACCAGGGTCGCCCGGGTGCCGCAGGGGTGAGTCTCGGCAGCCGCTGCAGCCTGGGTGGGGTCCCCGGCCAGGGAGGGGCCGGGCGCCGCTGCCCCTCCCCGCTGCCCCCCAGCAGTGCCTCTCAGTCCATCTGCCCGCTCTGTCTCTGGGGCGTCCTCTCGCCCGCACACCTCTGGCCTGCACCCCAGCCCTCGTGTGCATAAATAAACAGTAAAAAGCGGCTGTCCAGAGACAGCGGCAGCCCCAGCAGGGAGCAGCCCAGCTGGCCCGGGGGCCACATCCAGAACGCAGAGAAGCTTCAAGCTCAACCTCAAAGCCGCCCTGTTTGGAAACAGGCAAGGGCTGATGGCCAGAAGGGAGTGTAAAGGGAGCGAGCGCGCACCCCAGCATGGGCGGGCAGAGCCCTGGGGGGGCGACAGGGGTGGGGGCGGGCGCTGGGGCACTGTCTAGCCACAGTTTCAGTTTTACCACATGAAAAGAGGAAACAACCCGAACACCCCAGACACATGAATGACGGAGCCGGAGCCGTGGCAGACACGCAGAGGGGGCGCTGGCTCCTGAGGGGGCTGGTGCCTGTGCAGCTGCAGGGGCGGGCGGGCCTCTTGGAGGGGCTCCCTGCTGGCCGCCGAGGGCCCCATCGCCTGCTCCCTCCTTCACTGCCGCTGGGATGTGGGGCAAGCCCAGGCGGCCCGTGGGCCGTGGCTGGTGGGGGCGCGAGAGCCAGGCTCCTGGCCGATCTGAGGTGGCCTGCGGGAGGCCACGCCGCCAGGGGCCACGCCGGGCCGCTCCCCACCCGAGGGGCGACTCACCCTCTGCTAACTCCACCATCTCCCTTCCCATTAGTCTCCCAGATTGGAGCCATGCAGAGGCCTCACCAGCGGGCGGCGCCCGGCACCCCTTTTCCTGGTAGTCCCCCTGCTTCCCTGTCTGTCTGCCCTCAGGGCGCCTCCAAGGGCCCCACGTCCTGGTGACGCCAGGCTCCCGGCTCTCCTCACCTTCCCGCATGTTGTTGTCCACTGGCCAGTGTCTGTTTCAGGCTGACGAGGACCACACACGGCGGCTCCCCGGTTCCCGGCTCTGTGAGGTGCCTGAGGGGCAGAGGAGAATTCCGGAAAGCCCTGGAGCTGCCCTTGGCCGGGCAGCGTGAGTGTCAGGCGGGGTCCCCAGGACCCCGAGCAGGAGCCCACCGGACTCCTGCGCTCTGCGAACCCCGCCCCAGCCCAGGAGCAGCTGAGCCCTGCGCAGGTCTCCCGGGCGCTGGGCGCTGGGGACAGGGGCCGAGGTCCACCGCCCAGACTGCCCTGACCCAGACGTCCCCCGCCTCTGCAGTAACCCTAAGGACCAGGCGGGGGCAGCTCGGAGGTGGCTTGGGGTGCAGGGAGGGGCGGCCCACTGAGGGGAGGCAAGTCCAGTCCCACCCAGACGGGACCAGGCCAGGGCCTCTCCCCGGCCCCCACGAGTGAGGTGGAGTGTGGGGCTCCTGCCCTCCGCAAGCCTCCACCGTGGAGCCGGGCTCCTCGTTCTGGTTGAAAACTCCGGAGCTTGCTGCTTCTGCAGATACTCAGAACAGGGGTGAACCCAAAACAAGACGCCAAGTCCGAGAAGCCCAGGAGATCCCAGACTGCGACTCCATTTACAGGTGGTTCTGGAAGAGGCAAAATGACAGTGACAGAAAGACCAAGGGCTTCCGTGGCAGGGGGCGGCGGGGGGGCCTGGGTGGGGGCAGCCCCTCCGCCTCACAGCTCTGTGAGGAAGACTTGAAGTGGATTCCACGGTGTAGAGACCATCCCCAGCGGTGGGTGGGCCGTGTCCCCAAGCATGTGTGAGCGCTGGCCACATCCCGAGAACAGGCCGCTGTCTGGAAATGGGGCCTTGTTCTACTCAGGTTGATTTATTTATGCACACAAGAACTGGGGCGAGGCCAGAGAGGCCTGGGGAGAGGACGCCCCAGAGACAGAGTGGGGAGCAGAACAGGAGGCTCCACTGAGACACTGCTGAGGGGGCAGCGGGGAGTCAGGGACATCTGCATCACCCTGGGTCACTCCCTGGCCGGGGGTGGACTCCTGCTGCAGTGGCTGCGACAGCTTCATGGTGCTGAGACTTAACCCCCGGGTCACCAAGGAGGCCCCGGAAATGGGGTGTTTGCGATGTGAGCAGCAGACTCTGGGCCCTGGCTGGGGTCCTTCACACAGCAAGACAGTGGGGGTTGGGGTGGTGACCTGGGCACAGAGAAGACCCAGCAGGCACCCCAGAAACCAGGGGCAAGCATGGAGCACTGGCGCTCGGGGCAGAGCGCTGTTTCAGCTGCCCTGGGAAGGGACCTACCTGGGAGAAGGTGGGCAGCGGCCGGCGGAAGGGCAGGCTGTGAAGGGCAGCCGGCCGCTGGCCCTCAGCCCACATTTCTCAACGGTGGGGATGGCCAGAAGACGCTTCACTGTCCCGGCCTTCGTGTGTTGCACAAGGCCGTGCGCTGAGTCTGGAGCCTGCCCATTCCACGGGGCGCCTCCGGGGAGGCGGGGGTGGGTGCTTTGTGGGGGGCTGCTGGCCCCTGGGCACCAGTGGAGGCTGCCCAGGTACTGGGGGCTGCAGCAGCTTGGTGGGGGGCCCCGGAGGCAGACTTCAAACCCTAGGGGCCCAGCAGGAGGTTGGGAAGTCCAGGCAGGTGGGGGCGGGGGAGCATTCCAGGCTGGACAGCAGGTGGGGGCTGGGTCTCCTGTCGGGCAGACCCCTCCCCCGGCTCCCCCAGGCGATTCTGTCCCTCTTTCCTCTTCCTCCTGGGAGCGGCAGGGAGGCGGGGGAGGGGAGCAGAGATGGGAGGGGCAGGGAGGACTCAGGTCTGGTGGAGGCTGGCGGCCAGGACTGCTGGGTCTGAGGACATGGGACCCCAGTTCACGCGTAGAGAGGGACGTGGCTGCGAGGGGGAGAGGGGCAGGTGGGGAGCCTGGGGGAGCCTGCAGCTGGGTGACAGGCCATGGGTCAGGGCTGAGGACAGCAGCCCCCCAGTCACCCTCACTTCATCCCAGCCCCAGCAGGCTGAGCTAGACCTGCCCTTTGACAGGAGGCTGCAGGGTTCCAGCGCCCACCGGGATGTGGACCGAAGCGTGGGGCGCTGCAGCAGAAGCAGGCTGCCCTCTGGGTCCATTTCCACACCCTCCCGCCTTGCAGCCGGCCTGGCCTCCTTGGCCACGGGCAGGGCGCCCGCCTGGCAGGAGGGGCTCAGGGAGGGGCTGAGTGTGTGGTGGTGAGTGCCTGAGGCGGCTCTGGGCTCCCTGGGGCGCAGCGGGGTACAGCGCAGCACCATGAAGCTGCTGCAGCCGCTTCACCCAGACTTCGCTCCCCGGCCAGGGCAGGACCCCCAGGGTGCAGCAGACCCCTCCTGTCTCCCCACTGCTCCCCTCAGCAGTGGACTTCGTCCGTCGGCCTGTTCTGCTCCCCGCTCTGCCTCTGGGGAAGCCTCTCACCGCCCTGCACCCCTGGCCTGTGCCCTCTGGGGGTCGGTGCTTGGGGCGGGGCTGCACCAAGGGGCGGGTGGAGTGTCTCCAGCGCTCTGAAATATCCCAGTCTGCTCCCACACATCGCTCGGCAGCCTTCAGACCACTCTGCAAAGGAACTGCACCCCGACTCTGTGGACAGGAAGTACCTATCCAGGCCTGGGCCCCCGGAGCCCCGCACCGTCCCACCTCTCAGGGACCCCAGCTCCATTCCTCCCATTTCCTCTCCAAGCACCCAGCCCTGGAGCCTCGGGGGTCCCGCCCACGCAGGGTGGGTGCCGGTTGCCGCCCTTCTCTGCCAGCGCTGCGTTCAAGGGTGTCCCACGGAAGCTCGGAGCAGCTGTGGAGAGAGGATCCAGGCCACGGAGGCTGCCACGGAGGCTGCTGAGCCCAGGGCGCCCCTTCCCCAGAGATATCGGTGGCTGTCCACACTCCCCCTCCGCCTGCTGCCCCCCCCACCCCCAGCCATCCGAGGAGCCTCCCGCTGGGACGCTCTC